GGGTTGTGAGGGTCTCATCATGGAGAAAAACCCAAATAAGCAGAGGATGACAGTGGCATAAACCCAGGAACGGCTTGGCGAAGCTGGGAAACACTCCATGGCTGAAGGAAACGAAACGAAGCCAATGTTAACTGACGTCCACTCTTTTTGGCATCTTACATGCAACGAGAAACTGGTTATTTCTAAATGTTTTATGCAAGTTTCATCCACCTGCAGCTGAAATGAAAAGGAAATGATACATAATTGTTCTCGAATATTCGATTGGTGAGCCAGTCAAAGCCTCCGTTATCAACGAACCTCTTATTCATTACTGCTGGGGGTAGAGTCTCGCTTTAGTGACCTCCATCGCAAAGTGGTGATGAGTAGCCAGCTACTCATAAGTGTCAAACAACGGGCCAATGAATGTTTGAAAGGAAGTGAAACATTGGCTGGTGAATTACTGATGTATCTGTGGTAGGCAAGGTACTTCCAGAAGGTCAAACCCATGAGAACATAGATTGAGTAGTAGATAAAGCCTGCTACTATTTGCCCACTCTTTTCTGCACTGTGACTCTAAAGTCTTTACCACACTGAATGGCGTGTATTTACACATGAATCTTTCCCTTCGACTGTCGCTTGCCTAGTATTATGCTTGACACATAACAAGAAGTTTTCGTTAGGTGTCTTCAATCTTCTGAGGATCTGTAAGTCTTCAGTTAAAAAATTAAACCGGATAAAGATCAGACTTGGCACCTTCTCCACGCCCCGCCCCCCCTTTCCATACTGGTGTGAACTCTTAGTGGGAAATAAGAGGCATCTTAGGCTGTTGTTTCGCTTTTCTTTACGACTAGGCCCATTTCTTCCGGAAGTCTCTAGTCTCACACTCAACGAGGCAGGTAGCTAATTAACAACAGTTCATACTTTTTTCCCCAACCCAGAAATAAAATTGCTTCATATGAAAAACTCAATGGAGGATCTCATTTGTCACTGCCCAGGAAAACAAAACAACAAAACAGAGCAGAAGCTTTCTTTTTAGGGGAGCGATGTTTGAAAACATCTCTACAATGCACACAGAAAAATTCACTCTCATTCCTTCTGATTTTGGATCAAGCTTTACTTTGTAAAGCTTACACATTTTCGGTGCTCTTGGATATAGTTAAGCTCTCTGAGATAATTTATAGGGGGAAAAAACGAACCTGCTGTGACTACGATGCTTTTCTGCATATCGTCTCATTAAATCTTCATAATAGCCGTGTATATATAATTTCCCCATATTCTCAGGTGAGTTATATAGGAAATCCAAGATGTCCAACAACTGGCTTCAAACCACATGGTTCATTTGAATTCAGCTCTCCCTGTCTCCCGCCAGGGTCCTCTCAGTGCTCCCCTCTGTCTCTTCCTGGTGGCCCTTTGTCCTTGGCTGCTGGCATTAAACTAATGACGACCTCTCCCAGGGTGAGGGAAGAAAGTGTTTGTATGAACTCAGTCATACTAAAGACGATGGCTTAATACGTAGCGCTCCCAGGGGCAATTATAGTTTGAAAGTGGGGCAGAGAGACGGAAGACGATACTCACTCCAGAAGAGCAAGTCATCTGGGTAGAAGTCCAGGTATCCAGAGGGAGGAGCTTTACTTGGGGCTAGGGAGGTGCAGAGGGCCGACCTGGTCACTGACACTGCTGGACCCCAGAGAGCGTCAGTTCCTCTCTTACGGTAAATAAAGTAAACGTGGTTTTGTTTGTTAGTAAAACCCTTGATGAAGCAATACAGAGACAATGGAAATCGGAATTTGGAACTGGATGCAAGCAATTGTGAGTAATGCTGACAATGTGAAAATTTTGCCAAGAGCATGTTGGAGTTGCCTGTCCTCTCTTAACCTAGAATGCATGGGATGAACGGCCCTTCCTGAGTCACTGCTGGCGTTGGCTGGAGCCTTCTTTCTTTGTGACTGATATTTGTGAAGAAGAAGCTGTCCTAGGCAGGCAATCTGAAGCTTGGCCATCTTTCAAAGGGTTGTCCTATTGGGTGGCATCTGGGCCTCTATGTCTAGAATGTTCTCTCCATCTATGCTGACCGTGGATGGTTCACTAACTCCAAGTCATCATCTTCTCCATGCATCTCAGATTCTTAGAACTATGCCCATGCTCCTTGGGTTGCTAAAAGTCCCCTGGATAATAAATCTCTTCATCTCTTTCCTGTGTTAATACCGTTGCCCAACTGAATTTAGTTGGGAAGGTCAAACAGAAAAAGACAGTATGCGCCTCACGTGAGTGTGAGCAGGAGGGCAGGGCCTCATGTCTGTTTGTATCACTGCTCAATTCCTAGTGTCTGGAAGACGACTCGACACACTGGACGTCTTGTGGAAGGAAGGAGATGAAAGTCAAACCTCACCACGGAGAACCAGTAAAGCTCTATCTGGGTCTCCTGAATGCACTTCTTGGTTGCATCAGGTCAAGGCCAGGGATGTCCTCAACTCTACAAGTGCCTTGCAGTTTAGCTGCTCACCTGTAAAATGGGATAACGGTGCTAACTGCATGTGTGGGCCTTCTGTGAGTGCCTTGACACCTGGAAAGGACATAGTGCCATGTCGGGCATGGAATTGCTACTCAGACACATGTCATTTCTCTTTCGTTGTCTCTCTTCATGCTGAAGGATTCAACAGTGATTTTAGCTTCATGAGGAGAAATGAGGGAGGGTGTCTACCCTTAGCTGAAAACAACTAAGAAACACCTAGGGGGCTCATCCCTGTGCCCTAGGATGCTGGGCTTCCTTTCCTCATTCCTTTTTCCAGTACCCTCCCCCTAGGCACCCCCCCCAAAAAAACCCCAAACAAATGTATTCTCCAAAGCTAGTTTTTCCAGGCCCTTTAAGAGGCCATGTCTCTCCTGGTGACCATTCTTTTGTCTGCAGGGCCACAGTCTCTGTCACTGCCTGCTGGGAGGCCTCGGATGCTGACGTCTGCTGTTCTTTCCCCTCCCCCATCCCAGGGTACCTAGTCCGGAGCCTGCCTCATTGCATAACCCTCTCCAACCCTGGCCAGTTAACACAGTGTGTGAACTTGACTTGCACATCAGAATCACCCGGAAGCTTGGTAAAAATATGGATTCCTGGGCTCTATCCATAACGTGGGATTCAGTAGGTACAGAAGTCCCAGGAATCTGCATTTATATACCCTGGGTGATTCTGACCCAGGAGGCCCAAGGACCACTGTCCCTTTTCTATCCACTGGGCTGCTTGGCCCAAAGAGACCCTTTGGCTCCATGTCACAGCCTTTGATCGTAACAGGGTGGTGGGGGAAGTGGATGGAAATCTGGGGAACTTTTTCAAAGCTCCACAGAGACCTGCAAATCTGGAATTCTTTTCTGGCCCTCTAGGCCCTGGAGAGGCCAGGACAGGTGGAAAAACCCACAGGTGATTCCACGTTTAGAATACGCCTCTCGCACCCTGCCCCAACCTGCGAACTCCTCACAGGCACACACCGCTTCCTGTCTGTGACTCACTCTGTCCCATCCAACCTAAACTGCTCGTCCCACAGGGGCCGTGGATGCCTGAGTTTAATAAAATCCCAGAGTGGCTCCTTTAGTTACCATGACACGCAGGCACCTAAAGTCCTCCAGCCCAGTGTGACCTTTCACTCTCTGAAGGCAGTGATTTTTGCCCTGTACATAAAAACTGCAACTTAGACAGGTAAAATAACCACCTCCCAGCTGTTCTTTACTTAGCTTCTGCCTTACACCAAGCACTGTGCTAGTTGCTTTATAGAATTGTCCCTAATCCTCAGAGCAACCCTAATTATATGTATATACTATATATAATTATACATTTTATCTTTCATAATATGTAATTATATTTATGTAAATTATAGTATCTATTTATTACATTTAATATTACATGATTATATATACAATGTTCCCAATTTTTCAGACATAGAAACTTAGCCTCCTAAAAGCTCATGGCTGCTCAGCTAAGAAAGGTTAAAGCTAGGTTCAGGGTCAGGTCTGTTGGCGTCAAGTTTACATCTTCCCTCTACTCTGATGGGTACTCTGTGGCATCATTCCCATTGTGACACTGTTCTCCGCTTCTGGCCAGCTATGCACAAAGGTACTGTCAATGTGGGAGCTAGGATTCCAACCAAACAACCTGGGTACCACCCAAATCATTCTGTCTCCTAGTGGAGAAGCTTGTGGCTAATGGTCTCATGATGCCTAGAAGTACTGGCTCCATCTTTCATTTTTATCTTGTCATTGGGGAGATGCTGGCCTTTTCTGTCATCATGACGATGAATATGGTAATCAAATTATTAATATGATCTCTTCCCATAATATTTACATTTGGAATATTATTTCAAATTTCCTTAGACTATTTTGTGAGGTTAACGCAGAAGGGTATTGTCATTTTACAGATGGGGCAGCTGAAGGCCAGAGGCAGTAAGATTCGTGCCAGTTTTCACATTTAACCAATATCAGAGCCTGAACTGGGACTCAGTTTTTCTAAGTTCAGTAATCTTTCTTCTTACAAATTCCAGTTTCAGTTTACTTTATTTTATTATTATTTTTTTCCAGTTCATTTTTTAGAGTACTGTAGAGGCAGTAAGATTCGTGCCAGTTTTCACATTTAATCGATATCAGAGCCTGAACTGGGACTCAGCTTTTTGGGTTGTGGGTGTCAAAAAAATTAGTGGGTTGCAAACAGGATTTTAAAATAATGTTGCAGAAAGATATTAAATATCAGAGTACATTGCAGAGTTATTTTTTTTTCTGAAATTTTGTTCGGGTTATCAATACATAAATATCTACATGTGATCACACTGTACGTAATGTCTTACTGTGGGACGCAGTCACTGATTAGAAGTCGCAGAGGAAAGACAGGCTAAATACCTCCTTATGGCCCTGAGAAGCACACCTGTTGCCGTCATCAAAGAATACTCGTCTGAGAGGCTCACAGCCCTGATGGCAAAGCACCATTCTGGAACAGATTGATCTTCTGCAATTTCCATTTATCTTTCCACTTTGACCTCATAATATTATCCTCCTCCTAAAGAAAACTCAGCTTGCCTTCCCTTCATTGAATGTAATTTGAGGGCATGAATTGAATTGACATTCCGATTTGACCTTTCTGAAAGCGAGGTGTTTACCTTTCCCCTTTCTTGCTTTCCAAATCAGACAATCCTTTTAACAGTTGCTCCTGTGGCAGTGATTCTCACTTATTACTCATATGCTCCATCATCATTTTAAAAAAGGTTCACCGGAACATTGTGTGAACAGTAGGTTAATAGAGAAAAAGAAACAACGCTTAAAGGGCTATCTATCGTGACTTGGCGTCTACAGTGAAGGTGCTGGAAGTCACAGGAGAGGCTGAGCGAATCAGCTGCTCCTTTTAGCAGAGACTTAGAGCAGCTAAGCCTACCATGGAGCTTGCCTTGCTGAGCTGGGATGTTCAGGAGAGCTCTAGCTAGCAACAGTGGATGGAGGGGGCCAGCTATAGGCATTCGCCTCTATTTCACTCCTAAGCTATGGTGGCTCCAGCAGGTCTCAGCCTTCCTGCTCCACCTGCTTGGCAGGTCAGACAGCACCTGCCTCTGTCTCTGTTGTGCCATCTGCACACGTGTGCAGCACGTCACATGCACCTTGGAGGTAAAGAGTTACGTACACTGTTGGGAGTACCAGCCAGCCCGAGTGACCTTGAATGAGCCCCCAAGACCACCAACGCCTCCGCATCGGAAGTGACCCAACTAAATTACTTTGGAAATGAGGTGTTCCTTTCTCTTTTTGCTGGCAGTTGGAATAATGATTATTTTTTCATTAAAATCATGGCTGTTTCGCGAGGGACTCTTTGATATTCTACTGTTAAGCCTCCAGCTTCTCTCAATCTCTAATTTGGGTCTACTTCTAGAAGGCCACATATTTTTACTGCTGCTTTCAAGGCATGTAGGGTGCTGTAGCCTTCTTCAGAATAATCCCCTTGCGAGCTTATTTAACCTGACCTCACTATAAGGCGCTCACAGGTTTTTCTTCATCTCCTACAGAATTTAAGATTTACTTGTGTTTCAGCTCTGATCAGGGCTGGAGTGGCCTCTCACCATGTTCTTTCCATTTGCCTTGAAAACATTTTTTTAGGCAACCTCTTATAAGTTTTTAGTCTCTTGGTATCAGAGTTCAATTTCTCCTCTTCTCTTTTATTCCAATTATTACCACGTTATCGAATAGACTTTTTCCACTTTTATTGTTCTTTAACCACATCCTTAAATCTTTCCAACTGGCTTCAGGCCAAAGTTCTTTTCCATATGAACATGCATAGCTTAAATAATAAACAAGCACGGCATTTACCTATGAATAATAAAATGGCAATTACTACATTTCTAGCAACAATTACATTAAATATAAATGGATTAAATGCTCCAATCAAAAGATTGAGTGGCTGAGTGGATAAGAAAACAGACACTTACACATGATGCAGATCGAAAGGCACATGCAGACTGAAAGTAAAGGAATGGAAAAAGATGTTTCATGAAAATGGAAACAAACAAACAAAAAAGCTGGATAGTAATACTTGTACAAGACAAAATAGATTTTAAAACAGAGGCTAGAACAAGAGACAGAGAAGGACCCAATTATCCCACTTCTGGGTATTTATATGAAGAAACCTAAAACACTACTTTGAAGAGACATGTGAATTTACGTGTTTACTGCAGATTATTTACAATAGCCAAGATATGGAGACCACCTGGGTGTCCATCAATAGATGAATGGATAAAAGAAGAGGTGGTAAGTATATATAATGGAATATTACTCAGCCATACAAAAGAATGAAATCTCGCCATCTGCAACAACATGAATGGACCCAGAAGGAATTATGCTGAGTGGAGTAAGTCAGACAGAGAAAGACAAATATCATAGGTAGAATCTAGAGAACAGGATAAACAAACAA